CTACATATTATTCATCTACAAAATGTGCTCCTTATGAGGCACTGTATGGTCGGCCGGCCCCTATGATTCCAAAGTATGTAATTGGCTCAGCCAAGGTAGATCAGGTTGACCAAGAATTGATTGACAGGGACAAACTCCTACAATTGTTAAAGGATAATCTCTCGACCTCTCAAGCCAGAATGAAGCAGCAAGTCGACACATGACGTAGGGAAAGAGAATTTTCAGTAAGAGATTAGGTTTATCTTCGCCTATAGCCATACAAGTAACTCTCCATCAACACATGAGTCTCCATGAAGCTATCACCATATTTTTATAGGCCTTATCAGATTACAGAACGTATTGGAGTCGTGGCTTACAGACTTAAATTGTCTAAGGATGCTAAAATTCACCCTGTTTTCCACGTGTCATGCCTGAAGCCCAAATTGGAAAAACACGAGTCATCTCAGATCCAACTACCCAACACCACTGATGATGGAGATATTCAAGCCCAACCACAAGCCATCCTCGATCGCAGAATCGTGATGCATCACCGACGTCCCTCTACTGAAATGCTAGTGCATTGGAATAATCTACCACTTGAAGACACCACATGAAAATCACTAGTGGAGCTAAAGACTTGGTTTTCTGAGTTCAAGGAACCTCAGCCTTGAGGATAAGGCTGATTTGGAGAGGGCGGGCTTGATAGGACCCTAGCAGGGTTGGGTCCTACTCAACTAAGAAGTAGCTAATAAAAGCTTGTGAGATTGTAATAAACCCCACTTAGTTGCCTCTATCCTATAAAGAAGAGTGGCTAGGGTTTATATTTGGGCCTTTGGGCTTACTAACCGTCGCCCCCTCTTACTGGGCTGGTTGGTTAGGGTTAAGGGCAAAAGGGATAACTCACTTACGAAGCAGCCCCTACGGCTAGGGTTTAGAGCCCTATATAAGCTTGTAGCCTCCATCTCTTTGGGAATAAGATCTATCTACTATTGCAGCCTTTTGGCCAACTACTAGGAGGGTGCAACCCCTATAGCATTCCAAGGAGTGATCTCCCTCCAAAGATCAATCGACACAGAATTCCTCTGGAGTTCTATCATTAACCTCTTGAATGGTCGTTACTTTATAATCCCAAGTTTTTAGAAAGAGATTGTAAAACTTTATTAACAAGTTCAAGATTCGAAAAACATTTGCCATGAGCCTTTAAGCCATTGATGACATCCGTAAAACGAATGTACATGTCAACAATGGTTTCACATGGCTTCATTCGAAATAGTTCAAAATCATGTATCAAAAGATTTATCTTAGAATCTTTTACTCTACTAGTACCTTCGTATGTGATTTCAAGTGTATGCCAAATATCAAAAGCAATTTCATAAATAGAAACACGATTAAATTTATTTTTGCTCAAAGCACAAAATAGAGTGTTCATAGCTCTAGCATTTAAAGAGAAAGTCATCTTCTCCAACTCATTCCAATCGTTCATTAGAAGAGAAGACTTTTGAAAACCAAATTCGATTATATTCCATAAATCGAGATTCATTGAAAATCAAGAACACTCTCATTCGAGTTTTCCAATATCTGTAGTTTGTCCCATTGAACATGGGAGGATGAACGATAAAAAAACTCTCTTGAAAGCAGAAAAGGGCCATTTTTCTTGAGTGTTAAACCTAACGAGAAAAATGTGGCTCTGATACCAACTGTTAGAAACAAGTCGGCACTAAGAGGGGGGGGGGGTGAATTAGTGCAGTGGATAAAAACATGTTGGTTCAAAAATATTCTTAGGATAAAAACCAATTTCGACAAAGTGAGTTTGACTTGAAAGTGAACGGAAGAGTGTAATGTGAAAGTTAAGCAAGTAAGACAGTTTGCAATAAATGTAAATAGTAAAGTATAAATGCAAACCAGATTTTATAGTGGTTCGGTCGTCATGACCTACATCAACTCCGCTAATTCCTCTTCCGTCGAGGCTACCAGCATCCATTAACGATCTTCCTTTAATGGGCGAAAATCAACTACCCTTATAACTCGATTCTCCTTTTTGACATGTTCAAGAGAGAACCTTCACAACCCTCCTTTACTCCTCTCTTAAACAAGACTAATACTTTAGAGTTCATAAAAGATTACAACAATGTTTTCTTTTCTTTTTTTTCTCTCAATTGTGTGTATGTTAACCAGGGATGAGAGGGGTATTTATAGGCCTTAAGTTGATTCAAACTTGGAGCCTAAAAAGGTCTCATCCCCAGTTTCTCGAGTCCTGGTGGTACCACCACTTGTGCTGGGCGGTACCACCGCTTGCAGCACTAATACTAGGTAGTACCACCGCCCAATCTGACGGTATCACTGCTTGATAGTCTCTCGAAGACTATGTCTGGGTGGTACCACCACCTAGACCGACGATACCACCGCTTGACATAGTCTTAGAGACTGTGCCACAACGGTTTCACCTGTTGGGTTATTGTTTGGGCCTTTTCACTTGGCCCAACATAGCCCAAACTTGAGACCAATTGGCCCATAATTGAGTTGTTCCAATTCCAACTCAATTATGTGCTAACTACGAATTATAAGGCATACACTAAGCTAAATAAGTCCGGTAAGTCTAGGTTTCTTCCGGTGAGCTTCCGGTGATCTTTCTGTAAACTTTCGACGATCTCTCGGCAATGTTCCAACGAACTCCCGGTAAGCTCCTGGAGTTCACGACGAGCTTCTTGGCGAGTTCCGACGAGCTTCTTGGCAAGCTCCTAGACTTCTCGGTCAATTCCGGCAGAACTTCTGATAAACTCTCGAACTCCTAATGAAATCTCGTTCTTGACTCCGAGACTTCATTTTGCTTTATGCCTTGATCGCTATAGTAGTTAATCCTGCATACTTAAAATCTACTTTGATAGACAATTCTTATAAAGCTAATTAAATGTTGTCTGACATGTCATTGGTTTATCGGCGCTTTATCTGAATCTTCGGCTCATCATCCTCTCTTGTTGTCTATTGCCCAATTGGCTAGTTGACCTCCGCAACTTTGATGTCCTTAGCGCAATTTCCACTCTTCTTGGCCCGATGCCCGAACTCATGGCTCGAAACCTTCTGTCGATACGTCAACCAATCCTTCGGTGCGACATCCAATCTTGTAACATATTCTATTCCGGCCCAACATGATTTCAATTATCTTTCCTTGATCTAAGCTTCCTGCGTTTCATAAACACTATCAATTGGTTTCATCATCAAAATCCGAGATTGGTATCAATAAAATAACAAAGAAATATGATATAGATTAATATTTGTTGAGAAAAAAGAGAAGAACTCAAAAATCAGAAGAATATCCAAAGATTAATAATAAAAAATATACCAAAATGTGAATGTAAGATTTAAGGTAGCTTGATAACCCTTACCAATATCTATAGAGAAAATCAAATTAATCTTCATCATATGATATTAATTACAAGACTCTTCATTTATTCTCGTTCAAACATAATCTCTTTGTATGTTGTTTAATACAAATAAATTTATACATTTATCTCATCTTCTCCAAAAAAAAGAAGAAAAAAAAGAAAAAAAAAAAGAAACTTAGAGAGTCCCTAAAGAGAACCCCACGAGTTTTCAAAGTATTTTTTATACTCCCTCACAAGTACTTCTTTTCATATTAGGATTTTTTATCATTTTAAATAATTAATTTCAAGAATCTTAAAATACTTATCAATTTTAATAATAATAAACTAAATACATTCGGATCCAAGGCAAATACATCAATTTCTAGTTTCTTCAATATTGTTTCAAAATTCACCTAAAATAATTTTAATGATCCAAAATCTTTTACCCTAAATCAAGCTCTCATAATGGGTAGAAATAAATATGATGATCTTTTACGAGATCAGGAATCCAAACGCCATATATGTTCTTCGAATGACATGACCATCGGTAGAGACTTTTTATATGTGAGGATCTGCTTCTACTGGTCTAGTGTTCTACTATTCCCAATCAATCGTTTTTGATCATAGGCATCGGCACAAGTAATTTCGAGGGTCGCTTCTATTGTTTTCTTCCTTTAGACATTTATTCTCTTTTTTTTTTTCTTTTTTTTTTTAAATTTATTTTTGGCTTCTCCCTTTGCATTCGCGATTTAGAATATGAAAGACATTCTATAAATAAAAATATGTATATACTTAATAGATATGGTCATAGTTCAATTTGAATCAAATTCAAGCCGGATTGAAATGGAAATCAAGCATATACAATTCTATTTTGGTTCCAATTGCATAAAATTGGAATTAGAACTGTCGATTTCGGGTCAATTCTGATTCCTTCAATTTCAATTTAGATCGATCAAATTAAAAAAAAGGAAGATTCGAATTATATAAAATTAGAATTAGAACTCTCGATTTTGGGTCAGTTCTGATTCCTTCAATTTCAATTCAGATCGATCAAATAAAAAAAAAATGATAAAGGATCAATTTACCCCTCTCAATAATCAAATAAATGATTATTTTTAGGGATATTATGGTCACTTTATAATTTTAAAATAAAAATAAATAAATTTATTAAAATGTATATCTTTATTTTTTTGTTATTAGGTGTATGGAAATACATTCACTTTTATTCGAAAACTTTGATCAAAATTTTCGAATAGAACTACGAATATTTTGTTGCTTTTAAGTTATTTTAATTTAAAATTAAATATAACTTTTATCAACTATTTATTAAGCACCCAAAGGATTGCACAATTATACATTTGCTTAAACGTCCTTCTCCAAATATATATTAAAAAAATATAAATCACGTAGCTATACCGACGTGAACCGAGTGTGATGGGTATCGGTACAACGAAAGTTTAAGCTTCCACGTGGATAGTAATATTGTCATATCAAACATGTGATATACCCAAAGTTCGCTCCACCCGTTAACCCGGATCCGCCACTAAAACGGAACCGCATGGCAGACGATGTCCACGTCACGCTCGAACCCACGTCGTCGTCGATAGACTACGAAGGGCAGAAGTGTTCCGCGGAGCATTTTACCTCGATCACATCGTCCCACATAAGCAAGCATCGGAGATGCGGCCTACGAACTGTGAACCGACTCGGCGCCATCTCCACTCACAGCAATCGACGGTTGAATCCCGAACATGGACAGCTCCGGTGCGCTCGAGGGTTCCTCTCCTCTTCCACCCCGGGGTTTCATACCAATCTCTTATTTGTCTCTGGATGATATGCTGTGTTGCTGTGTTTCGATCAATTCGAATGGTCACTCGTTGTTATCGATCGTCTCTTTCTCTTTTTGATGCCTTCGTAATCTGTTGGAGTTACCGTCTGCGTGGAATTTTGGTGCTCGAGTCGATCCTTGTCGAAGCCGGAACTGCATGGGAGTTAGGGTTCTTGTCCTATAAAATAGGGTGTTGTTGGGATCTCTGGAATGGTTTCCATGAACATTATATCCGTCTTGGTTTTGGGATAAGTGGGTTTCGCTCGGTGGACTGCTCGATTGGATGCTGATGGAAAGTTAACTCGAGTATCTTGATCGCTGGCTAGCTAAATTTATCTTTCTAGGGTTTCGTGGACTTTCTTCACCATGCCCAGGTTTTTCAAGCTAGTGCTTTTGTAATTGAACGTTCGCAATCTTTTGTTTTGGCAACATATATCCTTCCCATGTCACAAATTTCCCGTCCTTTTCTGTGATGCCCATCTTTACTATTGGGTTTTACATCGTGGACTGCTCGATGTATGCCGATTGGAAACAGATGTTGACCAAATTGTGTTTCTTGATTGGCGGATAGCTAATTTCAATGTTCTAGGATTACGTTGATTTTCTTCTCCATGCCCACCGATTAGACTGAAGAGGTATATATTTTTCCAGCATTAGCATTTTTGCAATTGAACTTCTACATTTTTGTTTTCTCCATGCAACATGAGTCCTTCCCAACCACAAATTTCTCTTCATCTCTGATGCACATTATGGTCCATGCCTCTTACAGAAGCAGCCTTCTCTTGCCATAAGTCTCCTCGATCATTTTATTAAAGTGAACTCCTAAGTAAACCTTTTTCTTTCGAGCTAGATCATCCCTTTCTATTATTGTCTCCTTAATTTTTCTTAATTTCATTTGGCTTTTTTGCCTGAAAAGTTATGAAGGGTTTTCTGTGATCACATCTTGGCTCATTCCTCAGTTACGAGTCTCAACTCATCATTCAATCGGAAGTTGTTGTGGCAAAATTTACATCCTAAATAATGAAGATGAAGCACACGTATTCGAGAAAAACCATGAAAATATTTCATCTTGATGTCAGCTTGCAGTATTTTATTCACCCTAGCGGACATCGTGTGTAATCAGAGGATGTCAATGTGGTTGCTTACATGCATTTCTCTCCACAAATAAAGCACATGTGATCACCCTAGTGGACATCGTGTATCATTTTTGTTACATATTGATGCACTCAGCTAATGTAAAATTTTTCCATATTTATAATTATGCCATTAAGGAACTGCCTATAGGTTGATCTCCCTTTTGCTGGTAATATATCTTTAAACTTGGTTTTACTTTGGCATCAAAGATAAATGACTTAGATGCATGAATGCAACAATGCTAATGGAATGCTAAATGACTTAGGACCTGGAAACTACTTTTCATACAAGACATGATAGTAATTGAAATGATGATGAAAAAATAGGGCTACAGAGCAAGTTCTGGAATGCGGAGTCGACCATGGACCTCTTTTTTTGCTGTAAAATTTTCTCTTATTTGATAAATTTAACACAGTCATCTATATTCGAATCAGGAGTGAACTTTTCTTTTTTCCTTTCTTCAAATACTTAGGAGTAAATCCAGCAAATTTCATCATTCCCCCTGTTGAAGGGATTGCTGGAGGAGGGACTGGGTATGGGTGGGCAGATGTTGGTACTGAAAGTTCCAACTTATGCAAAGGTGTAAATGTAATTGATCCGACACAGATTCCATCAGCTGAGTTGTTGCATGTGTGGTGCATGCCAAGCACCGCAAACGTTGGCCAGCAAGAAATGCCTCGGCCTTTTGATCATGTAAGTTATTCATTAACAAGTGTTATTTTTCTCAAATTTATGTTGAAGGTTACAGGTATAACGTGATAGTTATTGCGTATATGTGTGCTTAGGTGTGCATATCAAATCTCTGCATTATTCAGTCTGAATTTTGGCGAAGAGTACTAGATCTCTGTTGATTCCATGTAGGTATTGCTGTAGGGTATGGCGAATGTTCTTTTGGTCTGCAAACGTGCATTTGATGTAGGTTTTAGTGAATTTTCGTATGTATACTTTCATTCTTGTTTATCTTTGATCTTCATACATTAGCAATAATGTAATCTTGCATTCTCAAAATTGCAAGTCTTATCAGAGAAATTGGAAATGGAAGTATGTATAACATTCCCACATTGTCCATTAACTAGCCTCGATGTTGTGTAATGATGTGAGTGGCGTGGGAAACACACATTAATTTTGCTTATCTGCTCTTCACTCTGCTTATAAATCATTTATGGTTTTGCTAATTATGACTAATTTTCTTAATCCTCAAGTGGACAAAGTAATAAAACGTGATTCTATGAGATGACACCTGCATGCATTATGTGATAGGATGGTTTTGGTGCAACTGGTGTTGCCTATTCTTCTTATGGACATCGGGCTGTTCCTTCTCCTGATTGCTTAAGGGAAAGGGGTGCAATCATTTGAGCATGAGGTGAAACCAGCAGGCATGTGCATTTGGAGCTGTCCTAGTGATTAGTGATTAGTGATTAGTGATTAGTGAATATTTCCTTTCACCATAATTTCTTATGAATAAGTTCTCTTACTCAATACTTCCTTTGTCCAATGCTACTAAAGTTGTTCAAGTCTTGATTTCCCTTTTGATGCATTATCAAAATCGTGAGATAGTAACATATAGGAAAGACTTCATTGTACCTAAAGCACATATTAGAAGAATACTGCTAATTGAATAGAAAAAATGACTATGAGGAACAGATTGCTGTGGCAATGTGAAAACGCTTTATTTCTTTATGGAACATCTATACATGAAATGGGAGACCTGGTTTGCATTTCAAACTGTATCACCAACCATTAGGTAGCTCTCAATTCTTTTCCTTTATATAGGATGTTTTAAGTATAATCCAATGATTTAAAAAGCGCTAGGCCCCAAAAGGCACCAAGGTCCAAAAACGCCCAAGGCGCTCGCCCGAGCAAAGCGAGGCGCTAAAATATAAAAATATATAATATAATTATTTAAATAAAAATATGATATTAAAATAAAAAATCTTACAAAATCACAATATCACATTAACAAAAAATCTCAAAATTCAAAACAATAATAATAATTTCAAATAAATAAAAATTAGCAGTATTAAAATCAAAATAATATATTATTAATCTAATAAATAAAAAAAATATTGTTACTAGTATACAATTAACAGTATATTGTAAATATACTGTTAATAGTATACTATCGAGTCGATGTAAGAAGAGATAGCAGCGAGCAACGATAGCAGGAGCGGGAGCGGGAGAGGCGAGCGACGACAGTGGCAGCGGGAGCGACAAGCGACGACAGTGGCAGCAGCAGCGGTAGAAGCGAGCAGTGACAGCGGGAGCGGGATTGATGAGCGGTGATAGTGGCAGCGACAGCGGTAGCGGTGAGCAGCGGCATTGTCAGCGGGAGCGGCGATAGTGGCAGCGGTAGCAGTCAGTAGTGGCAGCAGTAGCAATGAGCAGTGGGAGCGGCGACAGCGACAGCGGCAGCGGTTGTAGCGAGCAGTGGGAGCGGCGACAATGGCAGCGGTAGTGGTATCAGCGAGCAGCGGCAGCGACGAGCAGGGTTAGGGTTGGGAAGTCATGAGAGGAAGGCTGATATTGGTGCTTTAGTTGGTTCGATTGAACCAACTAAAGCATCGAAGATCGAACCAGACCTAAAACGCAGGTTCGGTCGTCTGGTTTAACCTGGGCGCTCGCCTCAAGCGCCCGGCGCCTGGGCTCGGGCGAGCACCCAGGTGGCACCTCTTTGAAGCGCGTCGCCTGGAAATGAAGCGAGGCGCTCGCCTCGCCCGAGCGCCAGTGATTTAAAAAGCGCTAGGCGCCAAAAGGCGCTAAGGTCCAAAAACGCCCGAGGCCCTAGGCGCTCGCCCAGGCACTCGCCCGAGCGAAACGAGGCGCTAAAATATAAAAATATATAATATAATTAATAAATAAAAATATGCTATTAAATTAAGAAAATCTAAGATACAAAATCACAATGTCACATTAACAAAAAGTTTCAAAATTCAAAACAATAAAATTTTACATCAAAGTCATTCATCATAATCAATATTATCGTCATTTTCACACAAATCATCTTCATTGAATTCGTCTTCTTCCTCTTGTCCTTCGATTCCTTCCTCTTCATCAAGATATGTTTCATTCTCTATGTCTTCAACAATAGCAGGAGCCGAGCTTGATGCTTTTGCACTCATTTTTCTCTTTGACGTCTGTCTTGTATATGTTTGTAGTTCTCCAGCACTTGAAGCTATTGCCACATCTCCCCAT